ATGTTGAATGACAAAAACCTAAAGTATGACCCTTTTACTACTTACATTAAGCTTAACTTACAATTACCATGATATTCAGTGTAGCTCATTACATAAAGCTTTTTTCGCAATGACTATTTATTATCTTAGATGTGTTAGCCACCAAACCATCTGATAAAAGATTGAAGGACACTGGCAAACTCTGACATTTATGTTTGCCAGTTTAATTACTCGTCATAATGTGGACTGGGTTCCTGTATTATCTCAAAAGTACCTGACCAGTGAAAAGTGTCTTTGAGTCAGAAAGTCGACGTGTTGTACTCATACTTCAGAATTACTAATAGGGATCAGATAAACTAATCTGGTGATAGCCTTTAGCTCATTTAATCGAAACTAAAAAACGTTGTCACTAGAAAAACGATGACTGATTGGGAAAACTTGAATAATAATTTGATAAGATTTAGATAGTTTCAGCCAGTAGATGAATTGTTATCTATCTATGCTTATCAGATGTCACGAATTGGCTATGAAATAGGTTTTAGCTTATCATGGACGGTTAAGTTATTTAAATTCTACAGTACCATGAGAAAGTGAGAGGTCACCTGAAGAACTAATATTGTCTTTACAACAAATATGTATTTAAAAAATTATATTCAAGTAGCTTTGTAACCTATTCTGAGCTTCTGGGGTAGCATTGTTTTAAGAGCATAAGATTGATAGTGAAACCTATACGAAGAATTTACAAGAGTAATTGTGCTTTGTCTGGAATTCAAAGCATTAACTTCTGGTCTTCTAGGCGATATAACCAGAAATTCTTATCTATTCTATTTTCTGTTTTAAAAGTGATTCTGTTGTTTTTGAAGGTGACAATAAATTCTTCAGAATTTTCGGATAAAATACTGGTTAAGATGTTTTCAGGTTATGTCATCAATCAGTGATAGAAACCCACAACTTGACAGTTTCACTTTTTGTTAGACATTTATGCTGTGAAGTCACATATTCCAATAAACTGAAGAGCTTTAAGATAAATTTATCCTCTGTATTTCCTGCAATAACAGTTATTTTCCGTATTTGACCAGATAACTTGAATAAGGCAATAATGTATGAATATTTTTTCATTGTATAAAGAATCTGCGCCAGTTTATCGAAATAATCGGGTCGGTGTAACAGAAGAGGTGATATTAAAGAAATAAAAACGAGCTATCTGATCAGACTTGATTCATAAATTATCCTGACGGGAAATTTGCGAAGAAATGTTTGCTAATTTGAAAAATAAGGTGCATAAAACTCAGAACTTCAGCTGATACCATTTTAAAACAGCACATGGATGACAGGATACATATTATAATAGTGTTTTAGGGTGGTAGTCGTTATATTTTTAGCATGTTAGGCTTTATTAGTTTAAAGGAACTCACCAGTATGAATGATCAAATGTAAATTGCTTAATATCCTTTTGATCTAAAACAAAGCAAACGAATAAATATTTGGTCAGTACAATTGTATATGTAAAATCCCTTCTATATTCTTGATATCTAATGTTCCTCTGACGAAAAGTATGAAGTTAACAATAGTAGCTGCCACATATCTTTCTCTCAATGTTACAAATTTACTGTCATTTTGTCGTCTGGAAGACTAATTCCTAAAGTAATATGTTGTGCACAGTTCCTGCTGCGGATACGTTTCTGCAAAACTCAAAGATACATGAATATCGGAAGCAAAATTCATGCCTATGCAAACCCTATAAACAAATAAGTTAATAATTAATGACTCCAATTTTTTTAATTTCCGCAACATGTCCTTGAAACAAAATAGTCTTAATATTATTGAACTCCAAATTAGATATCTTACTATTTACCAAACAGGCAGTGTTTTATGTTTTGTAGCTTTTTTACCGATTAGAAACACTTTTTTCAAATTCAAACCATTGTGATAGCGACAAATAACTTCGTAAATAGTTTATGAAAACATGTTTTCTCGTTTAAATCAAATATTTTTTTCTTTAAGTAAAGGATTTGGATACACTTCACACTTATCTATTTTAAAACCTGAAACCAAAATTCTCATTCTGCTATTTATTAGATATGTTATATTTTCCTAGATTGGCGACTTGTAATGACGGCCGTTCTGAAGAACCTACTACATTACTAGACCACGTTTTCTTTCTGTCTGAAAATGTAAGTCAAATACTGTGTACTTATCATTTTGGGGTATTATCTAAACTGTGCATGTCAAGCATCTTTCAGATTTCATATAAACTATTCTTTACCAAACTACTGGCTTTGTTATAAGTACACCTCATCTTGATAGCCAACAACAAGAAACACAATAAATCAGTTACATTGGCTATAACATAACACTCCTTGATTTTTTTTAATACAGTACACATTATCAGGTAAACTTTTAAAAAATAAAGTATATCAAGGCTTGGATTAAATTAAAGTAAGGAAGCTAACAAAACAATGTTTTCTAACAGCGTGCTTTCATCAGTGACCCTTTTAAACATTTTCGCACTATACACAGCTTAAAACATAGTGACCTTTCTGGCTAATTTATCTTCTGCCCAGTCGACACATGCGCTTTAAAAAAGAGCGTCTTCTTTAGTTTAAAATGATTTTTAAACCAGAACGAATAATATTTTGATAAGTGTCTGACGTATATTGAACGATTTATTCATAAGTTAGTAAATTCATAGAAACTAGAAAATGACGTATTATTATGTAAGACAGGACTTTTTTATTACTCTTATCACAAATAAACAGATCAACTCACTTTTGTTTACGAGCATTTAATGTATATCAAGATGCAATTTCTATTAAAAACGGGAAATAAGTAGGATCAACCCCTATACCACAAGCAAAATCTGGCTGATAAGAGCAGAACAGAATTTATCCTGTTAAAAACACTTACAAATTCATATGCCTTCATACTGCAATAACAGTTAAAGACCTATTTATCAGGTCGATAATGGACTACATGCGATGAATTCAGGCTTAAGTTCTATTCTCTGAGGCGACCCAATAGTTCAATAGCAAAACGAATTTAAATAACCTCAGAAACGCATTTTCACTTCAGTTTATGGCGTTAAATTTCATGTCAATGGATTCACAGTGCTAAGACTATTTGTTCTAGATATTTGCACCGAAATGTTGTTTTCTAGAGCCCATGCATTTATTTTACTTGAATCTCTTTGCTCTGCATCTCACTGACTAGTGTATACATATATTGTGCTTGATTCAACTTAATTACAGGGATGGCAAATAGAAGTACCAATGTTAACCATCATTTTTATTGGCATCCAGACATTTTTTCATAGCTTTCAACTGCTCAAAAGATGGTTATTATGGTCAGATAGCGGAAGCTTTTGATCTCTTCTAATTTGTCGAACATCGGCCTTTAGTACACAGTTTGTGATGTAAGTTATCAGCGGCTCTTGTTGCAAATGATATTTCCAGGTTGGACATAACTGCAGACAAATGCACCGGATAATAGATGTTTTCGAGTCAGTTTAATCCGATTCTAGATACTTGGCAGGTGAGATATTACAACATTGACATTATACACGATTTGATAGTACTAGATGTTTACTCCTAAAGGAGATTTAGTAACGACTCCACCTGACATCTTGTTCAAGCAAAAGACAATTGACGGAGTTGCTACATTTGCTCTTTTATAACGCATTAAAGAAACAAAAAGCCAAAAATCAAGCCCAGCATCATTATTGCTTAATCATACGATATCTCATCATAAGAAGAACAGAGCCTTGAAATAATTACGGCCTCGGGTGTGATCCCTTATGTTTCAGACTGGTACTGAAGCCTAAAAGTGAACCACCAAACCAAGTGTTTAGAAGGCGGCAAATGAAGCACACAATCATTTATGGTATCCTCCATGCTACACAGACTATCACATGTACGGATGAATTCGATAGACATTCTCTAAGCAGAACAAAGGTAGGATATTACTTGTACCGTATCATGTAAATAAATTCAACAAGACACATTTAATTAGAATTAAGAAGTATAAAATTACTGGTTGTGTGGAAAATTCGATTCATTCCTAGAGAACACAAGCTGATTTCATACAAACCTTGCGGCTGTGCAAATAAAAAACAATTAAGGTGTATAACTCATAAATTTGGAAGTAAACAAAAGTAAACGTTTTCTTAAAGATGTATGCTTATAAAAACATTAATTTTTCTGAGTGATCTAAGGTCCCTAACCAATTTTTTTCATTTACGATAGAAACCAATCACCTGGAATTTTGATGTCATTGCCAAAACTAAAACAAGATTATGATAATGCGCTATTTGTTAAGTGACAACTAAACAGTTACTGCTATTTGTCTCATCTGGAAAGTTTTGAATTACATATTTTTTATAAAGTAACTGAAAACTTGTGGGTGTAAAAATTTAGCTGGAGCTATACAGTCGTGTACTTTCGTAAATGTTCATTGTAAATAATATGTTGCAGCGTGATTTATATATTCATTAAAAAATTCGATTCACGGAAAAATGCTCTCAAGATACCACTTATATGAAACACGAGAATTTAACACAAAATTTAGGAAAAAGCTAAACCATTAGATTAATATTCCAATATTGCTTAACCATAAATATTTATGTTTACTAACTTTCTGGATGCCTAATCGTTGTCGTGCTACCATTCATGGAAACTATCAACTCTGCATTCCTCTCTCTTTCCCGTTTGTTGAAAGGCCTAATACGAACTGCAACTTTAACTCTGAAAATAATTTTTGAGCGAAAAAATCACAAACTGTTCTTCAGACATTGCGCAGTAACAAAAAGATAAACTGAATTAGAGCCAAATGTAAATCCAACAGCTAGGTGCATTAAAAAACAGAAAATTAGGTTTCAGAGCTGTGAAACGAAGTATTTCAAATTTTCAGTCGAAAATTTCACACTTAGTAATAATATTATTCAAATAATTGTTTAAATCGTTCTTCTGGAAGGTTATAGTCATTCGGTAAGTTCTTTAAACTTTCACTGTTAGTATGTAAAAGTAATGACAGAGGCTAAAACAAATAGAAAGGATATTACTGTTTTAAATCCTGGCAAGTTGAAGAAGAGTTCAATACGACAGAAACTTCCGCATTTAGATTTATGCCCAAGAGAAAAGCAATCGTATCTGAACAGTATTTCACGTATTCATAAAGGAAGGTTGCTCAAAGAAATAAAAAAGAACCAAACTAATATAAATCTTCCTCTACCATCAAGAAAAATTAAATTCAGACCAATTCGATGCAAGTCCGCATCACAAAGTCCCAACCCACCAATTCATACTTCTTGCTGTAATTCAAAGCACAACGGCCGATTCCCTAGCACTGCTGAAAACCGCCTCGTACTCAACAAGAACGGAAGTATTTTAGTACAAAAAAATAAACGAACTCAACTTCGAGATGTTTATGTGGATTTATTAAATCTACCCCCTATTCCTTTAAATCTAAAAATGACGAAGTCTTTCTCATCAAATCAAGTAAACGTTTCATGCCCATTCCAGTCGAGGATCACTACGATTACAGAGAAAGACTTGGATTTGATTATCCCACATCTAATAAGACGCCGTTCAAATTCAGGTTCTTGTTGTCATACTCCTTGCTTTTCTCCATATTTTAAAAATGTACCTGAAACGTCTATACATTTTGCACCTGTCCGAATGACAAATATCCACACATTGGAAACACTATGGTGTAAAAAACGTCAGGAGCTACAGAACAGAAATAATACGGAAATCAAAAGAACAAAAATGAAAGCACAACAATCTATCAGAAGTCCTTCTGCTTATAGCCCTTTCACTCAACGCAGAATGATTTTTGATGATATGGAAAAACGAGATTTGCTACAGTGGTCCCATAGTAATCCATTATCAAATTGTTCCAAGTCGCCTGTCGCGTACTGAGAAGTAAGATCAATATATACTGGTAAATATATATTGGACAAAATATTAATATTATCTTTGGTGTTTAAATGTTCAGTAGTTTTTTTAATTGCCTTTTGATATATATGAAATAAAACATCCCTCTAATATTCTTGACTAACACCAAATTAAGGACACATAGACTGGGCTAGATTCACTGTTGTTTTCTTTGTCAGTCGTATTTTTAGTATAGCATCATCTATTTAATATATATTGATTTACTGATTGCGTTCTCCTAAGACCACTCATTCGAATTCACTTACCATTTATCTATCAGTAATTTGTGCATTAAGTCTGTTCGGAAAGACACTCATTAATAGATAGGAACACAGGTAAATAAGACATAAGTAAGATGTTCCTTTTCCCATTTATCAAGTCTCATACTTATGTCACATCTTTCAGTACAGAAAAGCAAACTAGAATTTCGTTATCTCTTTTACTATCCAACCTAATTCCTGAAAGTCTGATTACAGTCACTATAATGAAACGTTGAGTGTTTAAATGAAAATGTGGTTTCAAACTATTCTAGTAACACAGTTTAGTGATCTGAAGCAACAGTACGTGGCAAAATATAACAATAGGCAATGACCAGGTGAGAGTTACATGTCCAGTTAACATCAAAGTTTCACGTGACCTTTCCGTAGAGGTCTTGAACCGGTTTCCGAGGTTATTGCTTTCTTTCAGTTAACCAACCACAGTATAGTATCCTTTACCGGAGTAAACTTATCGATTTGATTTAATACACTGGAACCAGCAGAGACAGCAGTACAGCAGAGACTTGTACTTTCCATTTTTGTGGGAACTATGTGATATTTTTTCGTGTCAAATTCCATGTAAAATAAATTCACGCATTCAAGATAATAACATCATGGCTGTCGTTCATTAAGTAAAACTTTATTTTATCCGTCAAACGGTGCCATTTATAAGAAAGTAATACAATTATTCCGACAGCAAATAACTTTAGAAAATAAATCAGTCATGAAGTTTATGAAACGCTCCATAGCCGGCATTCTCAACAGATCTCCAGTGCTTTGAAAAACAATGGTTTAGACAGGTTGTATCACAACCTAACCCACTGAATGAAGTTTGGGTCCGGACGATTGTTGGAGATTTAAGTTTACCAAATTTCAGACATGGTAACACCTTTACTTTATTGGTTATCGACTACATACTTTATGCTTCAGTACTTCTCTTATATCTTCTTCATTCTAAAGCGGTTTTAAAAACTTTCAAAGTCTAGGTGTTTCTGACACAATATGAGCTCTTTGTTTTTAATTCCGGCATTTTTGATTATACTTGAAAAATACGTTCAATTGACTGGCAATGAATCTACAATATTGAAGTTGTCCTGTAGAATTAGTATGCTGGCTCAAAATTTAAGGCTTCAGATGCATGAAATCTTATGGCAAAATGTAGTTCACCCAATTCTCAATCTTTAAAAACTTTTCACATCATCTTAAACTTCCTCACAAATCGTTATATGTGGAAATCATATTTGAAATAATCTCAGCGATTGAAATTTAAATAATAAAACTATGGTTTTGATTGTTAAAAATCTATATATTTCTTTGATGATTTTGATTATTACCCTGAAGAAGTTCAGACAAGTTAGCTGGACGTAACGTTGGAATTAGTAAAATTTCAATCGCTGAGAATATTTCAGATATAATTTCCACATATGATGATTTCTCTATTCTCGGCGCTCAATTACTGTCAAACTATTCGTTCTAATCTTGACGAATATTCGTATAAATTATCTTCTTCACAAATGTTTTCGTACGGTAATGTTTGTTTAGTAAGTAGAATAAAGAGCTTAAATTAGCCAGAATATTCATATTTAAACTCCAAGGTAACTAACGTGGTAATGATGGAGCAACTTTTAAATCATTTGATGAACGGAATTGTTTAGATACAAATTTAGTGTCCTAATGCATTCTGTTCACTCAAATTCATTGTGTCGCCCAAAAATTTGTTCAAAAATTATGCCCAACTTTACTTTTTATCTTATTAGGCTAAGGCTATTTGATATGTTTAAACTGTCGGCTTTATCAATCGATTTCAATATCGATCATTTTAGTTAGTCTATTGGATGGTAATAATAATAATATATCTACGGTTTTTAACTTATTTAGGACATTGTCCTTAGATATGACACAAATAAGTCACGTGGTGATTTTAGTATTAAGCATACTTTAACCCTATACGTTGAAAGATGTGTTATAATTCCAAGTATATATGATAAATAAATTATAATGAGGGGTAGTAGAACTTTTAGCGTTCAACGTTATATATATTGTGTAGAAGCACTTAATTAAAGTTCTTCAGTATATAAGGAGACTACAAGAATATAGTGACCCGAAAACCTTAATCTGACAAATATTTTCAAGTTGAAGGATTTGTTCTTGTGGCCCTTAGTTTAACCATAAAGTAACAGTCCTTGCAAACTTTTACAGACCATTACAGCTAACTTAGCCAACGTTTGCTCCCAATCATGTGCCGGATTTCTATACTCTTAGAAAAAGCTGATGAATTGTCGGGCTATAAACAATTCTTACATGGGCTCAGTTAAATGAGTTGATTGTCTGGTGTTCCATTATTCATAATTATGTTGCTGGCAATTTCTATATACACTAACCAAAAGATCTGACCGTATAACAATTTAACCACACCAAAGTCGAGTTAAGAAAGATAAACTACGAGTGTAACTCGTTCCAATTTGCCGGCTCTATTATTGTCTCCTTAATTTGCCCAGTACCACTGAAAATTCTCTAGACATATATACGCGTGGTTTCATGCAGAAAAGTAAAAGTAAAGTAGGGACATTCACCGGCATAAAGCACCAGTCGTTTGATTTATTGCGTAATTTCACGGAAATATAAATCAAATAACCTATTCGCGGTCTATATACTCAAAGTTAAACGCATTCTCTCAAAATATAATACATGAATCGACGCTCATTTCCTTAAACGACCCCTACCTTTAACACTGTGTTGGTCTTAACCCCGAAGTATATATTGATATATGTATAGTAATACGTATTTTGGTTAACATTAACTAATTTTAAAACTTTAAATATTCTTGTTTCATTGACCAGGTTATGGAATGAATATTAATGAGCACACGTGATAAAGTTTTAAACGGACTCCTCGACTTTAAAAATACTTCGGTTGCATGACATCATTAGAAATACTGTTTATCATCGGCATAGACGATAGCACATTTGATAATTACAGTTATTATTCCATGTAAGCTATTGAAATGAAATTTTGTCCTAAACGATTGTTCGTTGTCTTCGGCTTCAGATGATGGACAAGGTTGAATAACAGTATTATAAATCTACCACTCACTGTATGGTTCATGTAAGCTTGTAAATGTATTATAAATTCATATACGTTGTTTAACTATGTAAAAGGTTATAAACATATAAGTGCATTGCGTTTTGAACAGTTAAATACTTATAATATTGCATTTATCCTAAATGGTTAAATGAGAATAAGAATTGACCAAGAGGCTTGTTCAAGCAGTCTGTTAATCACGTTTTATGAACGTATTGGCACCACAATGTTGTAAGCTAAAAGAAACAAATTTGGAGGCCGTGAATAAAAAATAAAAGGTGACAAAATTGTGAAAATTATCCAACGATACAGGAATACTGTAGCGATGCAGAATTGGAAGTATTAGAATACTACCAAGGAAAATAGGTGTCAAGTGATAAAATGGTAGGTCGCAAATGGCTTATTCAATGAAATCGTGAAAAAACGAAGTCAAAAATCATTCATTTCTCCTTAGGTAGGTCGCTTAAAATTCTCTTCTTCACCATCATAAATACTTGAATATATACTTATATATATACTTAAAGTGCCATAAACTGTCTGCGCAAAAAAAATGAGGGGGTTAGTAGTAGTACTTATAAATATCCTCATGCATAACCACTCTAGTTGTGTTGTGAAGAACGAAAAACGATTGTTTTTATGCTATATTGTTGTGTCCTTCGCTAGAGTGAGAAGCTGACTTTGGGCAAAAGATTATAATTCGTACTTTAAATTAGTTATCCAAACTGTCAAATCAATGTGTATCTGATCATTTATTTCCTCTCCTTAACAAACGCATCCAAACCCCGTTCCATCCGTCCATAACGTTTCATCATGATGGCTAAAATCTCTTTGCTTCCACGCGCGAAGTACAAACATTCAGAATACAGCTCCCACCTAATGAACTAATTTTAAGCCTCCTTTACGCTGTTAAGACTATAAGAACGTCACATACACTTTCAGCAAGAAAACCCCGGTTCGTAGAAATTAGAATCAATTAATAACTACAGGCGCACGATGTAGGTTGTTTGATCTATTCAAGAATCAGCAGAAGACTATGGGCTATGTACATATTAAAACATTGGTGGAATCACGAGAGCTAGGAATATCAAAGGTAACCCTAACTGCGTAAGGAAACTGCAAGGCTAACTTCGAACAAATGAATCCGGGATTTAGAATCTGCCACTGTAATAACAATGAACAAAGGAACAAAAAGCAACATTGGCTAGAGTGTTTAGCGCTGAGTAACGAGATGTATACGAGTTTCAAACCGGCTTTTGCCGGTTGAATAATAGTGGGAGACTAAAATTGATATAAATCAGGATTCACGATTAGGCACACCAGCTGTATTGTATGGGAAAATTAAAATCAACTCAAGTAACAAGAGAAACTGTCGAACATCTTCAAGGCCATCACACTTCATTTAAACGAACCTAGACAGGTAATAATAAATTCTTGCGATCTATGTTATCCCTAGTGCTTCAAAACGGAGAGTGTTATGTCGGAACAACATTAAGTTGGCAGTGACTTCTGAGAAATACCTACAGGCTGCCATCCAACATATATTCTCATTGTATAACTATACAGTAACGTCATTAAATATATTTCTTAATAGTGAGCTTTATTCAACCTGTTAGCCACTATTGTACGATTCAACGCTTAATTTGTTCCCGATCAATGAGTTGCAGCCTTCCATACTCATACCCATTTTAGACTTGATCTTGTATAAATGCTAGTTTTTACTTTGTGGTGTGATGCGGTTTGGCCTTTCTGTATATAAACTACGTATGTACGAAATATATTATTCATATATTAGGGGTGGATATTGTTTTCTGGACTTAATTGGCAAGGAATAGGCGAGAAGCTATTATAGTGATGACCGGTAAGGACTAAAGTCTACATAAGGCTGTTAGTGCTGTTTTACAAGTCATCGGCTTAGCACAGGTTTGAGGTCATAGAAGTCGATATTCTGATCGGTAACTTAGTCACTTGAAAATTGATACAAGTCATAACATTAATTTCAGACAAGCGCTGCTTCAACTCTAGCCTTGTAGCTGAGCGACGCGTGACTCTTAGGTTAGGTGGATGAAGCAGTGTGTCAGCTACAATCTACTTGTTAACAAACCGACATAAAGGCACTGTATGTGATTCCTTATATTTGATCTGATTTTCTGTTGCCATGTTAGCATGATGAACGCCAGTGTCCAATCTTGTATTGTGACACTGTTTTGCACCACTTGAATCATTTTTCGGCTTTGAATAATTTTATATTTTCGGCTTCTTTGTACATATGTATATTATATTTGTTTGAAAATATCGCTTACACTGACCTTATCTGTCTGTTACTTACTCAGTGCATACTATGCTTTGTGATCGTGGGATACTGTCATATTCGTTATCTTTTTACACAGTGACCGAAGAAGTGAAAAAGTTAAAACCTCATGCATATAAAAACAGCTGAGCTAAATGCAGATCTCTGCTCATCATATAATATTATACTAAGTCACTTGGAGGTGTTATCATTACGGATAATATAAATTTCTGATACATGTAGCAGAGTACCATGTATGATCCGTCCAAATGTAATGGCACAACGAAGTCAACTGATCACACTGTTTCAGTAGCAACAGTAAGTTCTGACAGTAGTTACTAACAAGTCGATCAACACAAGTGACAACATAGACGGTTAATAACAATAATTTATGACACTACGTGTTCACATCATGATCAGTAATTCATAAGATGTATTTACGTGTGAGATGCTACAATGTAGTATTATCAAATAGATAAAATATGTGAAAACATGAAGGAATGTCCATATATGCATGCCAACTATTTAATATACAGGTTTGTGTGATGGTGCTGAACAATAAGTTTACGGTTGTTACAATCACTTCAAAAATGGCACCCGTCAAATTTATGCCCCCAGTGAACACGGTTTAAGCTTGAGTAGGAGCTCCATAGTTGTGTGTTACAAACGTTACGATTAAAAACAAGGACAGAGGAGCTTATAACAACAGATGGTCGACAGACCTTATTTGTTCGGAACCAAATAAATATAAGGATATTTAATTAGTAAGTAAAAATTAAATTAGTTACAACCCCAAGATTAAAAATACATTTAAAAACCTAAAAACAAACCATAGGAACAGGGTCAAGTGTGTGGTGGACTGTAGTGATGAAACAGATCTCAACTGACAGAAGAAAGACTGAAAAGGAAGAATATCGAAAGAGTACTGCGAAATAGCACTGGATAATATGCATGTTACCAAACAAAATAAATTAACATAAATAAAGCAGTAGGTACAGGAGTGTAGGAAAGCAAAAAAAATCAAACCTCGGAAAGTGGCGATATGAATAAGTTTTTGCCAGGACAGGTAAACGTCATTTCCACAGGTGTGATTTACATACTACAAGATTAGTTTTCTTACAGTATGCTTCCACAGTAGGGTCCTTAAATAGATAAAACCAATAAAAGTAAATAATAGTACATTCGTGCAGATGACTTGGATCGTTAATGATTAGGTTTTTGCTTCGGTATTAACTGAATACAGTCTTGAAAATATTTTCTAAAGTGGAATCGCGTCAACGTTACACACCACATCCCACCTCGGCATTATTGTGTTGAGATTTTGGCCGCGCTAAGTATTTATGCAACACAACTTTTTATGCTTGTAGTTGTTATAAATTAGATTTGTAGAGCGCTTAGTGTGAACTATGACCTTGATAAAACGCGTACATCAAGCTCGTTAAAGGCGTCAGAAGCTCCATAGCTATGATCCGACTGCAGAATTCTGAAAATCGGCAATTAATGTAGCAGCAAGACACTTGGATATAAACGATAAGCGATGATTAACATTTTGTTGTGGAACAGAAAGAGGTATGATAAATTAGTAGATTAAAATCCTACCAGCTACTGTTGCTGGAGCGAGACTTGATCAGAGGCTCCAAATGAGAGAATACAGTAATAATAAAAAGTAAGTCAACGTTAGAATAAGGAAGGCTGTTTATTAAAATAGAATGCTCATTAAGAGAGTTAAGTGATAAGAAAACTATTAACTACACCTTTCATTGGCTTATAGTTTTTCATCTCATGCCAGCCATAGTCTTAGTGTAAATGTCCGAGTTAGCATGTTATAAGTTGCTTTAGAAGAACAGATAATCTGGCATAAAATTGGAAACATGAGTCTGAATGGTAAACATTGGAGAACAACCTCAATATTACAGATTGAGTGACTCGTCCTCAATCACAAAGAGCTTGAAACAAACAAAACGTTATTTCTCATAAACATAGGTGGGTTGAAGACATCACCCTCACCACCAATGCCTGATAGTCAGTTACTCCACCCTCCCTCCTCTTGTGATGTTAGTCTGACTTAAATAATAAATATTATATCTCACACAATGTTCTGTGTTTCACACACTGTTAGAAAACACTTCCTATAAGTACCATTTTACAAGTTTATCAGGCATTTACAAATTATAGAATGTAGGTGAGGCATCGATGCAGTTCTTTAATTGACTATAGTATGAAGTATAGGCTGCCCATCAGAGTATAAGTATTGAGAAATATATGATGTACGAGAGTTGTTTGCCGAAGTAGGCGGAAAGGTACGGAAATATATAAGTTATATGTAAGGTGGTGAAATAAAATTAATGCTAAGTCAACATAGTGTACTGGAGAGTAAAACGTTGATAAAGAATGGACAAGAAGAAACGCACATTAACTTGGTGCTGATGATATGTTGCGCTATCGTAACCGTTTGATGGATAATAGGCTCCATATATGCAAGACCACTGGTAGTGGGCGGTCGATTGTGCGGCTCTCTTGACTTTTTAGGGCAGTAGGATGCGTCCCTTAGCAACCGAATTCAGTTGAGCAGCATCAATAGGTCCAGTGAGTTACTTGTCTACTTCAAGTGAAAAAATTAGGAAGGGAAAAGTATCTAAGACAAATGCAAAAAAGGGAGGTAAGGAAAACTGAACTTAGAGTGTAATTTGGTCTTTTCATGTAGAGAGCCTATGATATCTGGGTAGGACGTAAATGTATTCGATCG